CACGCACCCCGCGCTCGGGCCCGCCGTGCGCCCCGCCGCGCGCCCCCGCCCCGGCCCGGCCGTGCGCGCCCACCTGCGCCGCCGTGACCTCCGCAGGCGCCGGCCGCCTTAACCGTTTGCGCCCCGCGGGCCCCGCGCTCCCCTGCGGACGCCCAGCGCGCCAGGCGGCCCTCGCGCCGCCCCTCCTCCGGCCGCGCGGAGCCCCTCGCTGATTTTTTTGGATTCTCCGGGGTTTCAAGTATTAAGTGCCTCCCAGACGCTCTTGCTGTCTCGCTGTGAGTTTTTTTTGGGCCGGGGGGGGGGGCGGTGCTGACCACGAGGCGTCGGCTTCCCCGCGCCACTCCGCGGGCAGCAATCACAGAACAAACGACCGTTAGATCCTGAGCAGGTCTCTTCCCGGGCGCTGCTGCTGTCCTTGGGAACAAGGACGGACGCCCCCGCAGCGCAAGGAGGTCATGCGTGCCCCCTGCGGGGAGGCCCGCTGAGCCGTTCCCCTCCCCGGGGCCAGAAAGCTTGCAGCGACCCCGCTTGAACCTGCCGGTGGCGCTTCCAGCACCGGGGGAGAAAGGTCAGGAAAGCGGCGGAGCCCGACCTGGGTCCGTGCTACGACCCGAAGGAAGGACGGAGGACACCTGCGTCCAAACAGGTCCCTGGGCCCCACCTCACTTGGCTGGGAGATGCTCGGCTGGCCATGGGGCTGTGAGCCACGGGCGGACTGGAGGAACTGGGACGTCCAGCTGTCCCACAGTGAACACGATTCTCCACGCATGCAATGACAAGTACATGTGCATATAACCAAAGGGGGGGCCGCTTCTTACAGGAAGGACAGCATAAAGGACTGTCCTGTACCTGTGTGGCCCTTTGCTCCTGCACTAGTCCCCGAGGGCATTTCGCAGTTTAAAACAGCATTAGCAGAGCTTACTATATCCCAGGCACGTTTAGTCCAGTTAATGGCAAAGGCTAGAAGCCATATAAAACTTTTAAGAGATGGAGGCTTAACTCCCTCTTCCTTTGCCTTTGTTCGTCCAGAGGACTTCCATGGCGATCATGGATTGCATGGATTTCCAGCTTTGAGCTCAGCAGTTACATCTGCTTCCAAATGCAAACACACTGAAAGGGCAGCCCGGTCTTCGGTGGCCATAGTCACCACTGAGCTCCCCAGGTCTCTGCCAGAGCTCCCATCTGGTATCGGGTCACACCATCATCACTACAGTCATACGAGGTTTGTCTCCTTGTCCCCGTTGTCCCACACCCAAGCGGAGGAGAGACAGGACGCAACACATCACCAGTTTCTAGACAGCGTCTCTACACGTCTTCCAGCGAACAGAGCAGGTAAGTGTTCCATTAAGGTCTTTGCCCAAAGACGGTATCAACACGAGCGTATTGCCCTAAAGCTAGTTGTCCCCTGAGACTCCTGTTTACTCTCCTTACTGCTGAACTGAAGAAATAGTTTAACATACAGCCATGACAATTCAGATTACATTAAATTAGGTCTGGTGCTTATAATCTGGTAAACAAGAGTGAGATTCAACTTGACTCAATGAAATAATCCTAAAGAAGGCAGCTCTAGGGAGTGGCCTTAGGTGAACAGTAACCGGGCGGCCAATTATTGTCAGAAGGGAGACCAGCTCTAATGGCTCTTAGAAGTCCCCAAGCATTTCAATGCTTTCTGGCTCCTGGTCGCATTCTTTTATTTTGGATGGACATTTGTTTCAAAAAAGTTTATTTAGAAGGGATTCATTCTAGAAAGTAACATTGTTCGAAGCCAAGTGTTTTTTCGGAGTTTAACGAAGCTATTTTAGTATCCAAGATGGGCATTTGGTTAGACTTAGCATTTTTCCAAATTCTGATCACAAAGGCTCAGGTCACGGAGAAGAATCCATCGTTCTGCTGGGTGGGAGCCGATCAGGACCGCTGTGAACCAAGAATTTTGGTCCCGTCTGTGGATGCCTTTCGCGTCACCAGAAGAGTGTGGAGCGGCTCTCAGCACAGGCATGTGTCCTCCGGTTCCCTCCTCTCTCATGAAAGGGTTTAACCTCGCAGCCCATGAGGCCCTGTTAAGACCGCAGAGCCTTGTCCCCGGTCAGCACTGGGGTATACCCACAGTCAGCTGCCCCCAGGTGCCCCCTGAACCACACCTGAGCTCAGCCGAGGGATGCTGACTGCGTTGGTTGGCTCATTGGTACCTGGAGGACGGTCTCTCCCCCAACCAGAAGCCAGGCAGGCAGATGGCGATTGGCCTAGCAGTGTGTTGCCGTCACTGCCTCGGAGGTGCTATGGTTGAAGTGGACCATCGTCTGGATGGAAGCCCACATGAAGGTGAAGGTCACTGGAGCCACCGTGGGTTCGTTACCGACGGCGTTCGTTACCAACGGTGTTCTTTTGTTAGACAGCACCCTATTTATTGGGCATAAGGACGGTCCAATGCTAAACATGAGAGGTGCGAGGCAGGAAAAAATCGTTTAGAAACATACACGCTGAAAATTACGCAAGATTGGAAGACGTCTTACCACTACACTGTTTTATGAGCATCACGTCAACCGGAAACTTACCCCAGTCTGGGTTCCCCAGAAGTAGATCCTGAGGCCGCAGCGGGGACCGAGGAAAGTATCTGGAACGCAAGCCTGGAAAGCACAGATGAAGAAAGGGACAAAGTGAAACAGGGAACGGACACAAGTGAATCAAAGGTGGGGCAGCTGGGACCCAGCTCCCCTGGGGCCTCTGAGAAGCAGAGCGGGGCAGAGGGGGCCCCCCGATCCCCCTGGCCACGGGCAGGCAAGCTAAGCTTCTTCCCTCCACACCCATCTCCCCGGACTGTGGGTCTCCGCTGGGGGGTGGCCTCCAACTCCACAGAGCCTTATGTCGTGAGAGCAGGAAGCACACGGGTCCCACGTGGACCCCTGGCCACAGTGAGCAGTGGTGGTGAGTGACAGTGAGCAGAGCCAACGCTGCTTCTCCAGCTTGGTGCCCAACGCTGCTTCTAGATCCTGGGACACAACACCCTGTAAAAGCCATTGGTCCAACGTGTGTGCTGCGTCTTGGAGGACAGGTCTCTAGCCTGAGGAAGTCACCACTAAGCGGGTTCCTGCAGGCCCCTATCCGGTGAGAAGAACTGATTCTCCCCTCAGACCGGGGGCCATGATGGCACCAGCTCGCCACCAAGCAGCCGGCGTTACCGAGCAGCGGGTTCGAATCTGCTGGCACCGTGGGCAGCCGGGTCAGTGTGGGTGAGAGGGAGTCCCTGCTGTAGACCTCTTGCCTACCTCTGTCCCTGCCACTGTGGCCGCAGGGCTGGCAGGCGAGGCCCGGGCTGCTGCCCTGGTGACAGATGCCGTTGGCGTGCCTGCTCGCTGGGCTCCCCTTCCTCCCTGATGCTCTCTGGAGACCGAGGCAGGAGTCTAGACCTACAGCACCCCTCTGCCTCCTTGTAAGGCCCACCCAGCCCTTCCCCAGGGCCCTCCTCCCCCAGGTGGAGCCCTGCCGCCCCTCCTGTCCACCGTGTGCGCCTGCTCAAGACGACAGGGGCCAGCTCAAAGCTTCACCGGCCCAAGGGCTTCTCCTCCCCTTGTCCTGTCGCCTGCCCTGGAGCTGGACGGGAGCACGGCAACAGTCCATACGGTCTTTTGTGGTTCACACCAAGTTAGCAATGTCATAGGTGCGAGCTGAGCGGCGTCGGGAACCCGGCGGATGGAGGCAGATGACTCGGAGGTCTGGGCCGTTTGTGTCAACAGCTTACTGGTGACCTCCAGACCTGCTCCCGCCTCAGCCCAGCCCACCCTGCCCTGCGGGATGACTGGCAGCCCTGCGGGCTCCCGGGACGCTGTCTTCCAGACCACCCCAGAATGTCTCCTCGGACACTTGCTAGGGGGCTCTAGCTGCCTCAGGGAAGAGCACGCTCTGGTTCTCCCCACGTGGGCCATGCTGCACCTCCACTCCCCGAGACCCTCCACACTGCCCCGCCTGCTCCCTCACTGCCGCCCAGCAGGCGGGGTCATCCCCGTCGGGACTGAGGGCCGGCTCTGAGCGCCAGCGTGCTAGTCCTGAGACAGAGGCCCCATCAGAGCCCAGTCCCCAGCCTTACTTGCCTCTCCCACCTCACCCAGCTACCCGCCCTCCTAGGCTGGGGGAGCTCAGCACAGGCCCACGGCCCCTCTGATGAACAAGCCTTCCTCCAACAGCTGCTGTGGTGTCCCCTCCAGGCCTGCTGACGCTTGCCCAGTTGCTGGTCTAGAGGCCCT